CGAATACTAACAACAAAATGGACGTTTTTGACCACTCAAATTATCTCTAATGTCTAACGTGACTGGTGTAATTTTAATGGGAGCACGGCTCCGTTGGGCGCTGGAACCTCTCAAGAGCTCTTAAGGACGTATACGATGCTTTAAAACGTACTGATATCAACCCTAAAGCTTCTATTTAGATTTAAATGGCTATTATAAGGTAGCAATGTGATTCAACGTAGTGTTTAAATTAATGGCGTAATGTTAACTCTGTCAGATGTAACTTGGCTGTAATGTTAACTTTAAATCGTGTAATGGGAAAGTTCATTGCTGACGTATAAATTGAACAGCATCTAATTTATGGAGCACGTTCTGAACTCTTTCGGTGTTCTAGATTTGTACCATTAAGTTACGATTTATTAAATTAAGATGACAAGGTATCTAGTATTGTTTTGGATATGGCGATTTGTAAAGATGTACGCCTATCGGCCTGATTTTTATTACAGAGATAGATTATATGCACATTAAATAGTTTTTATCTTTTTATCAATTTTACACAAAACATTCAACCCAGACATGTTATAGGCCTACATTTTATACACACGTGTGTCAAGATAGGGTACAGTACCAGACAATGTAACACGCGGGAAATTTCTTGATCAGCTGAGTGACTATCAGATTCTCAAAATGTATACCTTTATGAAGTTAATTCACGATATATGTATTGTGTTAGGTCATGGGACATATCTTACGTTTTACAACCAATATTTTATGGGTTTGTGGACTATTAAACGTGAGAAGCGAAATGTTCACTCACCATACGTTTCTGGTTAAAGACACCTTCCCGAGTCTCCTGAAACAAAACATAGAAAATTCTTTATCTAAACTGCACGTACACAGAACCTATTATTAAAAACTAATATCACAAGAAATCTTTCCAAAAATCGCTCATTCAAGTTTATTCCTAAGGACATTAATACCAAATACAAAACAGACTTCAGATATATGTTAAGTGTAAAGGACGTTACGACACTGTATCAGTGCTGACAACTTCACTAAGTTAACTTAACCACTACGACCAGACTGCCGAATACAAACACTGACAAAGTTATCTTCGCTGCACATAAAAGGTGTCAGAACTAGTGTCAAAATCAGATGGTCCCTTGTCATCTTGGAGACAAATTTGTGCCTGATGTTTAAACAAGCACCGCGACGGGCAGACGTCAAAAGAAACGATGAACAAGGTTCTTAACATAAAATACTGCAGTGACATAATTTTAAAGTATAATTTGTAATGTAATACAGAAAACTCGTAGGTTCGCAATGCGGTGATGTCGATTTTGGTGTTCTGGGTTGTAACCCCGTGTGGGCTTATAGGTAGACACCAACGTTTCGAAGTAACATACTGCCTCCATCTTCAGGGCTGAATATAAACGTAGTATATTCCTCCCAAACGTTGGTATATGTCTTCATATTCATACGGCATTACTACCTAGAATCTTGCAAACAAATGCTTCAATTCAGTTGCGTGGTTTCTGTAATCTTAGGCAGTGTGTTTACCCTGTGACACGGATTAAGCAAAGAGGACCACAACAAATTTTGTGCTCACAAATAAATCTCCAAGTTCTTTTATGGCATCACGTTCAGTCAATGCCTCGCGAAGCCTTGTTGCTTAGAAATATATATATGACCCTTTTCCTTCCTACGTTCGTCGTACAAGCAGAGCATAATAGCTAGAAGGCCTTCCAAGCAGAAAGCATTTTTTCCTTATATTTTGGCGACTTTCGCTCGTCTTATATTTATTCTCCACTGTACACAAAGTGACAGTAAAATACTCTGATATAGTTCCTCAAAAAAATATCTGGGCCCATATATTTAACACTTTTATGAAGAATATATAACCTTGCCTTGATTAAACGCTAACTGTAAGCCCGTATAAGGAATATTAACCTTTGCTTAATATTCTAGAAGCCAAACGGTCAACGTAAAACAATTTTTAAATCCTAAGATTACTTTATTCTGGAATTCTGTGCCGTGTAGTCTGTAAATGTTGACCGGTGTTTCAGAGATGCTTATTGCCTCCATCATCAGGGGGATTACGAACAAAAATGTAAGAGAGGAATGATATGGATAGGACACGTAACACGAATGGAATATAAAATAAATTTATAGATTTTATACACAATATAAACAAGAGAAAAATAACTGGTTAATTTTCGTTCTGTCTTGTGTTACAGGTGGATAAAAAAATCGCTAGGTTCCAAGCCAAGTATCGGTAAGTGAATATTATGTGTTATCGGCATTTCAAATACAAATTTCAGGCTAGAAATAAGTAGCAGATATCGAGAAATTTGTTTGAAACGCGACTTTCATAACACTCTCACAATTACGATGACGGATTGCCTACGTGAACGGAGGATGTCGGATCAATAACCAAAATACCCCAACTGTTACACACCGAAGTCCTATTTGGGTTCACTTAAATCATACACAGTAGCAAATTAAGTACCTTATTTTACATTTAAAAGTCCCTGAATGAATCTAGACAGTTTAATATAAATTAGTCTGCTGATTTGATTTGATTTTCACAGAGATAACTTCTCATAATTCGTGATAGAACGTCGATATTGAAGTTTACATGTTTCAGAGTCTATTTTACATTTAAGTGATATTGTTTCAGGATAGGATTAAATGACAGATTCTTATGAACACATTATCAAAGGCACATGTCTCGACTAACTGGGCAACTATAAGCTTTTATGGAAGGACTATTTTTCACGGTAAGGCTCCTATGACTAAATTCAGCACAATGTCTATAATTATATTAACACGACTTAACTGATTATTAAACACATTAATTAGAAAATTAATATTATAACCGACATAATTCCAGTCTGTTGATGGGGTGGGATGTTATAATCAGAAAGGGCGAGTGTGTGTCCCTAGGGCGGGGGGGGGGGCCCGGTTTTTTGAAATTATTACTTGCGTATAATTTTAATCTGACTACTTCAAAAAACTATAAACCGAATACAATTTTTTTATTACGGGGATACGTTATCGAATGACATATTTATATTAGCCACAGTTGTAAGCACGTAATCGTTGAATATAATTGTTATTTGAAATATTTATGTTATCAGATGAAGTTGTTCATTAAGATATTTCTTAAAATATTAGATCGAATTTGTATGTGTAAGCCTGTTTACAAATAACGCGATTCCTCCGTGTTAAGACATGAGACATTAACAACATCGATCTAAAAAAATGTAATAATGTGGATTGGAATCATATGTTTCAGAATATTTACCGGTATCATGTTCCTGCAAAGATTATTAAAAATTTCTGTTCTATAAAATCCAGAAAATGATGTACTGTCAGGTTCTCAAGAAGTTACTTTTATTTACTGTTTAATTGATGTGGTGTTAGAGCATGAAAATATTTCGAAATTTCACTTAGGGGAGACAAATATTACGCGTCTTGTTGACGGTGTACAAGGGTTAGGTCCTGACTCAGAGGCTCACATACCCATTCCGGCCCGGATGTACCATGCACAGAACCACCAGCCAATCCAATGATTAATGTTCCACTGTGCTCTTCGTATGTGAAAGGGACTGGAGGAATAAAATATACCAGACGGAAAACGAACTACAAAAAAAGAGAAGATGATAATAATAGACAGAAGAGAAGCCAAATTTGTATGAACTTGGCAAAGCATTGCGGATGTATGTGCTATCCGCAACTGAGAAAAACAGTGTCTAATTTCGACTGTTTAAATTTATTTGATCGTGTTCGATTTGCAGATTAAAACTGCTCGTTTTCTGTACAACAAAGCAGCTGATTCTGTGAATGCGGTTATGCAATCTAATAAAAGGGAAGTAGACGTATAGCTCCACGCATTCTTAAACTCGACACTACATGTAAGTGAATACTCAGCTTGAAATAAGAATCAAAGGTTAAGTTTTTCGGTACAATGTTACCTATTATGCAATACAGGCAAATATTCTAAACTAATTAATACACGCCTTCCCGTGCTGTTTACTTAAGAACCATTTTAAAATTACTTTCTTTTTCATCAGACTATCCCTTCTAGTCAGGTTTTTCTAATAATTTTTTCGGTTCTGTAATATATTATATATTTTTGGCTCATATTCTCCCATGTTCTCATCATTTATGAAACCGTGTATTTTAAATAATTGTTTATTAACCCCCTAATAAATGTAATAATGTCGTCTAATAATATTTACAGCTACTAAATAAGACACAAATAATAACTAATAAAAATAAGAATTTTATATAAATCATAATGTAATCTGTACCAATCTTCATTGTGCTGACTCCAGGGTTATTGAATTACTAAAATATTTTTATTTTATTCGAAAATAATTATAACAATATTCTCACAAAGAATTAGTAAGAATTTGAACGTATTTTTGAAAATCTGAAGAACTGCTTGTTCACCCTTGAACTTGAGTCACAAATATAATGATAATAATAAAACAAAAAGCAGAATAGAATGGGAAGGAGAAAGAGAAAGAGGGCGAAGTAAGAGGGAAAAAGAAAAATTGCAAGTCGAGGCGTGACAAGAATTTAATGCCGCTGTGTGAAATGCACTCTCACGTCGTCCATTTTCTACAGAGAGAAAAGCATGAACGGTCATTTGCGTTCTTCCCCTGTTGCTGCAAACGTTTAATCTCACCCCTTCTTTGTGACGTCATATGACCTAAGCAGAAATTCACACTACCATCAGCATAACGCAGAACGGGCGTTTCTTGATAATGGAAGTCTGATGAACCATTATTTGAGCATTCTGAAAGTTCAAGCTTGGGGTGAGCTTAAATAAGTAGACGCTTCCAGGAAGATCAATTTGTTTACATGTTTATAACGACTATAAAAATATGTATCGTAAGAATTGCAAATAATATATATACGCCATAAATAGACGTAGTAAAATAATTATGAAACGAAAAGACTGGAATGCCTGAATTAAATTAAATTAAATTCAATTAATTTCTAGAACCTAATGACGAAAATGGTCTGCCTATCTAAACCGAAGGGTATTCGACGCCACGGACGTCCGATAAAAAAAATTAGGTGCTTAATCTTTGCAACCTTAACAGGCGAAGTACCTAGACCTTGATGTCGACGTATTTTAAGAGAGAAAGAATACCTCATAATAACGGAGCATCATAGAATATAAACATAAAAGTATATTCCTTATTTTATAATCACTTATTTTCGTCTAAGAGCATTTCTTAACTTAAATCACGTGACTCCATATGCTCAAAGCAGGTTTTACAGAAAATACACTTCATTTTTAACATCTCCTTTTTTAAATTTTGCTTCGTGTCAGGCAGATCATTATAAACAGTCAGTGACAAGATTTGCAGATGTTGATAAGACGTCTTCCTCAGTAATATCTACTGCTTAATTATGAAGCTACAGGCTATTTATCTTTAAAATGTCTAAAACTATAGGCTATTATGAAAGTTTTGCTTTCTTTTACAAAATGTGAAAAGAGACCAACATTTTTAATTTATGAATCAGCGTGATAAAATAACAAGAGTCTGAAAATTAACAATTTTTTTTAGAACAATCTCGAAAAGATAACCTAACAAGGTTCATGTATATAATGTAGCATATAGTCTTATAAATATTTTTGGATATAATCGATTAATTATGACGATAAAATTGCGTCATAAAAGCAAAGTGATTTGTTTGCTAAGACGTTTAGAGACCTAGATATCAAATTTTAAATTATTTAAGAAATGTTTATGCAACTGTATGGACAATAGAGTATAAAATAATGTAATGTTCGTAAAATTATGAATTGCTAAGGACGCATAAGGAAGCGGT